ATGGGCATTCTTGGCAACAAGGTGAGCGGTTGAGTGCGGTGTAGTGCGGTTGAAAGGGATAAATAGCTGTCTTGCATCAGGCCAATGCCTTTGCTTTGGCCATGAGTGGAAGCAGATGTCGGGAGGATAGGTTATTTGCCAGGCTGCGCTCATGTTTAGCAGCAGCATCATTAGCAACAGCAATGGGGCATTTGTTGGATCTAAAGACGTCTGCAGTCGAGCTTCGTACTCAGTACAAGTCCTCGAACCTTGGGACGGGAGGTGAGGCAGCCGCTGCAGCAGCCGCAGCTGCAGCAGCTGCAGGGGCAGCAACAGTGGGAGCAGTAGCAGGAGAAGCAGCAACAGCAGTAGCCGGCATCAGCCAGCGGATGGAGGAAGAGGGAGGAGCAGGAGGGGTAGTTGAGGGCAGGGAAGAGTGAGGAGACGAGGGAGTGTGGGGCTGGGAATAGGGAGGTTAGAGGGAGAGAACGAGGGAGGGGAAGCGGTTTGGGAGGAGGGAGGGGAAAGGGAAGGAGAATTGAGAGGGGAAGGGGAAAACGGGAAGGTGAGTTGAAGCGAGAAGAGAAAGGGGAAGGAAATGGGGAAGAGATGTCACCATAGACACTAGAAAATAATTTTCATTGTACCCTCAAACCTTCCATCCGCCGACTCTTCTTGTGACAGCGGTTTCCCCCCTCAATGTCGAGAACCACGCCGTCCACCCCTCGTATGTGGTTCTTTCTATTCATACTGAGGAGGGAAGACTTAGAAGAGAAAGAATCACATACGAGGGGTGGACGGCGTGGTTCTCGGCATTGAGAGGGTAAAACCGATGTCACAAGAAGAGTCAGCGGGTGGAAGGTTTGAGGGTTCACGAATAGATCCTTTCTACTGTCTATGGTGGCATCTCTTCCCCGCTTCTCTCCCCTTTCTCTTCTCGCTTCAACTTCCCTTCCCGTTTCCCCTTCCCCTCTCATTTCTCATTCCCTTTCCTCTCCCTCCTCCCAAACCTCTTTCCCTCCCTCGTCCTCTCCCTCATAACCTCCCACTTCCCAGCCCCACACTCCCTCTTTTGCTCCCACTTCCTTGCCCCCCACTCCCTCTTCTCTTCCCTCTTCCCAGCCTGTCAGATTACTATCCTCATTGTAACCTACATCAATCATATAAGCTTAGGTCAAAGATAGACACCCAAACTTAGTGTGGGTGTAGAACTAGGGTTAACCCTAGTTGGGGGTTGGATCTCAACCTTGGCCAAATTGCTTGGCCCCCAAGGTTGGTTTGGGAATTATTGGTCCCCCCAATAATGTTGAACCACTTGGTCAACATTATTGGTCCCCCCATAATCCCTCAACCCAACTTATTGGTGGGGGCCAATAATGTTGGCTAGGTTCCCAACCAAACCCCTCATCCTAGCACTATGTATACCCCCATACTTCCTAATCAAGCTATCGGTTCTTCTTCACGTTTTCTCACATGGTGTTCAGAGCCACTGCGGCTTACGCCTTTCTTCGATCCTAAGGACCTCACGTCCCGCGTGCCGTATCACGCCCCCCCTCCCTCACATGGCTCGTTGCCGCTCTTTGCGCCTAAGTTGCGCTATTACGCCTTCACGGCCCCCCTCCCCCCTCGTACTCACGCACTCTCCCGTGCCTCCCCCGCATAAGTTTCGACTGGCAGCCCGCTCCCTCCCCCCTCCCCTCCCCTCCCTCACCGCGGCGCTTTCCGCCGACGAGGGCGGACGCGACCACCGCGGCGCTCCCCGTCTCCGCCGACGAGGGCGGACGCGACCACCGCGGCGCTCCCCGTCGACGCCGACGAGGGCGGACGCGACCACCGCGGCGCTCCCCGTCGACGCCGACGAGGGCGGACGCGACCACCGCGGCGCTCCCCGTCGACGCCGACGAGGGCGGACGCGACCACCGCGGCGCTCCCCGTCGACGCCGACGAGGGCGGACGCGACCACCGCGGCGCTCCCCGTCGACGCCGACGAGGGCGGACGCGACCACCGCGGCGCTCCCCGTCGACGCCGACGAGGGCGGACGCGACCACCGCGGCGCTCCCCGTCGACGCCGACGAGGGCGGACGCGACCACCGCGGCGCTCCCCGTCGACGCCGACGAGGGCGGACGCGACCACCGCGGCGCTCCCCGTCGACGCCGACGAGGGCGGACGCGACCACCGCGGCGCTCCCCGTCGACGCCGACGAGGGCGGACGCGACCACCGCGGCGCTCCCCGTCGACGCCGGTTCCCGTCGACGCCGACGGGGGCGGACGCGACCACCGCGGCGCTTCCCGTCGACGCGACCACCGCGGCGCTTCCCGTCGACGCCGGTTCCCGTCTCCGCCGACGGGGGCGGACGCGACCACCGCGGCGCTTCCCGTCGACGCCGGTTCCCGTCTCCGCCGACGGGGGCGGACGCGACCACCGCGGCGCTTCCCGTCGACGCCGGTTCCCGTCTCCGCCGACGGGGGCGGACGCGACCACCGCGGCGCTTCCCGTCCGGCTATCTTTCCCAATTTGAATAGTATCAAAATATGGATTATAGCTTGAGTTATGAATTTCAGCGCACTAGGGGGTATGCTGCCATAGAAACTTAACTCAATCACAAAGTTATCTCACAAGTTCACACAAGAAAGTTGGAGTAGCAATTGAACCAGGTAGGAGGGGATGAGGAGGACAAGAGGGAAGGTCCCAAGGGAGTCCCCAACCAAAGAAACCCCATACCACACAATTCTCCTCTCTATAGGCACCCCAACTTTGACATTTGCCACTTTTCCAACTCATGCCATCCACCTTGTTATAGTCACAATAGGCTCCAATGTGCCTAAAACGAAAGATAGAGTGCACAGCCGGATTTCTGCACAGCGGCTTCAAACGTTCATAGCGTTCTGGTCACAGCTTCAAATGACTTGATTCAACTTGGATATGGAGCGTCTTATTGTCTCCTACAATAGGCAATTTAGATCGCACGATTTCACCAAGTATTGACGACACAACGTCAGTTTGAACGAACGGCACTATGACAGCCACTATAGTCTTGGAACACAAGATAGGAAGAGTTAGGAAGAGTTACGAGTTGTGAATGACTCCCAGCTCCTACAAACCCCAAGAGCCGAGGTACAGTGATGTGGAACAGTGCCACACTGTCCCCAACCACGAAGGGTCTCGAAACTACCCTTCACTAGGGCCTACACCAAGTGAAATGTTACACTACACAAAGTAATGTAACTATCTTTAATATCTTGAGGTGTACCCTTTTGGCGAGCTTCGAAATCACTTGAGGCTTGACACCAAGGCTCGGGCTCTTCATCAAAAACTCATCCTTGAGTTCTTGATGGGTCTGCTGCACACACCTGCGACACGCCGAACGTTCGACACAGGACAAAATAGAAACCGCGCACGACAAAATAGAAACCGCGCGCGAGACACAAACGACCGCGTAACACGCGTCTAGCGATAACTCGCTATTGACTCGACACACACACTCGACATCATGACTCAACATTCACACACAATTATAAGCATGAAATATATATTATCCCATGCCCTCATACCATTCCATACACACACATATTCACGCATACGGACAACAAGCCGAGTGCAAACCGTAGGGTTGCACCAACAAACTCCCCCTCGGATTGTTGGCCTTAGGATATGTTGCTCTCTCAGTTCAGAGCCATCCCAGCCAGCTTGCAACACTTCCAATGCTGCTGCTCCACCAGCCTCTTGGTCATCATGTCAGCCGGCTGCCCCGTGGTCTTCACGTAGCGCAACTCAACTTCACCCGCGGTTACCATGCTCCTCGTCCAATGCCACTTCACCCTCATGTGCTTCGTGAGTCCATGCAACACAGGGTTCTTAGCAAGAGCAATGGCACCCTGGCTGTCACAGTACAGTGGGGTAGGTCCTTGCTGCTCCTCCCCCAATTCAGCCAACAAACGCCGCTGCCACACAATCTCCCGTACGGCACGGAAGAGTGCCATGTACTCGGACTCCACCGAGCTCAAAGCTTGGTCAACCTGCTTCTTGCTCTCCCAAGCAGTTGGGCCTCCACCAACACAGCATATGAAGCCTCCCACACTTGTCATGTCCTCTGGTTCTGATGCATATGAAGCATCCGAGTAGGCGGTGAGGAACAAACGCCCGGGCTCAACACCATCCGCGCCCTTTTGGCGCCTTTGTGCCGCCGCCGAGTATTGCAGCCCAACGGTCGGTGTTTGGCCAAGATACTTGGCCACCCTCATTCCAGCTGCTACCTGCTCCTCATTAGGGCATTGCACAACCCTAGCCAGCTGCCCGGTAGCAAACGCGACGTCCGGTCGGGTGTTTACCGCCGCATACATGAGGCTGCCCACCAACGAGTGAAATCGGCGCCTCTCCTCTTCACCAACGCTCTCCTCCTCTGGTCCCTTCACACACTTGAACCCAGAGGGAAAGGGTGTAGCCACATGGCCTTCACTCTGCCCAAAGTTGGCAGCCAATGCCTCCAGGTACTTTCGTTGATGCACCCGCATGCACCGCTTCTCCACATCTCGTTCGATGTGGAGCCCAAGGTAGAAGCTCACGTCACCAAGGGCCTTGCACTTGAACTTGTCTTGAAGCTTCAGCATCACCTCCTTCACAAGGTCAGAAGAGGGTGAGAAAATGAGGATGTCATCCACATAAACCACCATGAAACTCCTCTGCTCCCCCTCGCCAAGCATGAACAAGGAGTGATCGGCCGTTGAGGGAGTGAAGCCGATCCCCTCCAACACTTCGCGCAGCTTCATGTACCATTGCCTAGGGGCCTGCTTCAGCCCATAGAGGGCCTTCTTCAGCTTCCACACTCTGCCACTACCATCATCAAACCCCTCTGGCTGCGCCATAAAAATCTCCTCCTCAAGGATGCCGTTAAGGAATGCCGTTACGATGTCCATTTGCTTTACTACCCATCCTTTGATGGCGGCTCCCGCGAATAGGGTTCGCAGCGTCGTCGGCTTCACCACAGGGGCAAACAGCTCCTTGAAGTCCACCTTCTCCTTCTGCTGGTACCCCTTGGCTACAAGCCTAGACTTGTAGCGCTCGATCTTGCCGTCGGCATCCGACTTGATTTTGAAGAGCCACTTGGACGTTATCGCCGTACGCCCCTCCGGTAACTCCACCAATTCAAACGTGTTATTCTCCTTGATGCTCTTCAGCTCACTCTCCATGGCCTTCTTCCACTCCTCAGCATCACTACTCTCCAAAGCCTCCTTGAGAGTTGCTGGTTCTCCCGGCATCTCCACCGGAGAGAAGAACGCGAAGGCACACTCCTCGTAGTCACTCTCCTCGTCGTCTCCGACCATCATTGCCGCTCCGGCCAGGGCTGTCTTGCCCTGCTTTCCCGGCGCATCATAGGTCAGCCTATTAGGGGGTTGAACTCTCCTCTTCCCCCTTCCTTCCTCCTCAGCTGCAGGGACTTGAAGGCCTTGGCGTTGCTGCGGTGTGGCTCGAATCCGTGGAGCACTCGTAGTACGGGAAGGAAGTGACGGTGCACGCTCGCTCACTTGCTGCACCTCCTCCTCTTCTTCCTCTGCATCATTGGCCTCCTCTCCCCCATTCACAAGGGAGGATTGCCTTGTGGTTGTGCTGCCGCTGCTCAGTTCCAAAGGCAGCTCCACATGCTCCAAACCGGAACTCTTCACCTCCCCAAACCGCACGCCTATCTTCGCCTCATTCTCCGCCTTCCAATCCTTGTACATGAAGTTCTCCATGAACTTGCAGTCCCTGCTCACCAAGAACTTCTTGGTGAATGGGTCCCAAAGAAGCCATCCCTTGCTGTTTTGAGCCATGCCCAAGTGCACGGCCCACACCGCCTTGGCACCAAGCTTGTTGTGCCGAAGATGCTTAGGCACGAGCGCCATGCACATGCACCCGAACACCCGAAGCATATCCACCTTTGGCTTCCTTCCTAGCCACTCCACATAGGGCACCCATTTGTCTGCTCCCACATGAGTCAAGGCTCTGTTCTTGGCCACACACGCGCTCCGCACCGCATCAGGCCAGAAATAGTCGGGTAGCCCGGCTTCAATGAGCAACCCGCGTGCCGCCTCTGTGATTGTGCGGTTCGCTCGCTCGGCGATGCCGTTCATTGCAGGGGAGTATGGCATGGTGAGGGAGTGCCGAATACCATTCTTCTTCAGCCACAATGAGAACTCCTTGCTCAGGAACTCTCCCCCTCGATCGGTGCGAATTGCCTTGACTAGCCGGTCTTGTTGCCGCTCCACCATCGGCAACCAATCGGTCTTCACCGTTTCAGCCACGTCACTCTTCTTGGACAGCACGTACACCCAAGTCATGCGAGTGTAGACGTCCACAATGGTGAGAAAGTACTCAGCTCCAGCATCTCCAAGCTTCAGGGGGCCCACCACGTCCATCACCACTTCATCAAGTGGTGCCTTAGCCGTTGCCTCCGAACTAGAGAACGGGTAACGGGTGAACTTGGCTTGCATGCACGTCGGGCAGCCAAGTACCTCATCGGGCTCCCCCTTCACACGTATGCCAGCAACCATCTCATTCTTCACTAGCTGCTGCAAGATGGGCAGGGCCACATGCCCCATTCGCCGATGCAAGGTGAGCCAATCACACTCCCCCGTAGCCGAAGTCGGATTGGAGAATGCCGCACTCGCAATAGTGCCCCACATGTTCTCTCCGTACTCCTCCTCCGCTACTGCCTTGGGGTTCTCCTCACCCTTGTGCTGCTCCTTGGCTGCTGCACCACTCTCCTCATGTTCACCAAGCTTGCTGGTCCCTCCAAGATTGCACTTCTTGGACTCAATCTCCTTTGTGCGACCGTTCGCGCCATCACCGCTACCAACCGCTTCACCCTTGGTGCTGATGATTGCTGCCACTTGCCTTTCCTTAGGCATGGGTACCATAGGGATCTGCCACATCTCGTTGTAGACATCCCTATCCTCGATAAGGTCCCAAAAAATCCGCTCGCCAAGCCTCGCGGTGTAGGTCTTAGCTCCCTTCGAGCTCGTGTCCATGCCGGCCTTTTGCAACCGCCGCACGGAAATCAGGTTCGCAGCAAGGTTAGGCACCCAAAGCACGTTCTTGAGGCCCACCATCTTCCCATCAGCACCCTTGAACATGGCCTTGCCCATGCCTTTCACCTCTGCTCGCTGCCCCAAAGCCGATGTCACATGCTTCACCGGTGATGGCTCAAGTTCGGTGAGCAAGTCCGCACGAGGTGTCATGCTATAGGTAGCGCCGCTATCGATCACCCAATAGTCCAGGGAGTGTAGGGTGACCTTCCCCACAGCTGCTGGCTCCTCAAAGCTTTCATCCTTCTCTGGACCAGCCGGTGCTTGCGTGGACACGAAGAAGAATTGACCCGGGAAGCGATCGTCCCTCGACTCGCTCTCGTTGCCGGCACTCTTCATACTTGCAACACCACCTCCGTGACCGCCACGGCCTCCACGGCCTCTTCCTCTCCATCCTCCTGCTCCTCTACCCTCTTGGCCTTGAGCAGGAGTCCATCCATCAGGGAGCTTGTAGCAA